ACANACACACACACACACACACACACACATACATACATATATATATATATATATATATATATATAGGCAAAAATAGAATACGCTAAATGAGTATTCCATTATTTAGAATACGCATTTAACGTATTTGCAGCGGTGAAATGGTTCGATGACAATTCGGAGCAGACCTATACCTCACAGCAAACATTCAGTACCGTTGCCTTTAGGCCCATCCAATACCATGTATTAGTGCAAGACCATCAATGATGCATGTGCGTGCAATGAAGTCGCCTAAACGGACCACCATTTGGTGCCATGCACTGGCACTACTCGTTCACGTGGCAAAGCAATCATTCAGTGCAACTCCACATATGCCCATTCAACACCAGCCATATCGTTTTGTGTTTGTCATACTACTCATACGTGTCACTACACAGCGATCGCTCGAGCATACCTTTGACGTACGGCCCACTGAAAGACGCCCTGTAGCTGTAGCACATACGACAGCATCAGCCCTACTATACCCGAGCCCAAGGTATCGCGCAGTGGAATACAGGCATACCCCTGTATGAGAGTCAGAGTAGGAGATGGGTGGGTAGTTCAGTGCAGATGAACATTAGGCAGACATACCCCTGTATGAGAGTCAGAGTAGGAGATGGGTGGGGGGTAGTTTAGTGTAGGTATACATTAGGCAGGCATAACCCCTATTACAGTTGCAAGCAATTGCGAGACGAATGCAAACATACTACACAAATATATCTTCGTCTACGGTAGGCATACAAGAAATGTAAATACATACCCACACTTCAATACTTATGTGTGGGCACATAGCATTCAACCACGCACAGCACATACCGCCACAGTTATAAGTACACAGCACAGGAAATCCAGTCGAAACCCGAGCCACCGCTGCGTTGCCAGAAAGCAGAACCACATGCGCGAGTGCATGTTGAGCTGCGCGTAGAAGTCTTTCAGCTTCTGCTCACCGGCACCAAAGGACCGGATGATGGAGAGCCCTGTTGCCATGGAAACGGGTCATAGAAAGGTATTACACATATATAGTAATGTATAGTATGTGCACAGGTTTATGTTCCCCTGTCTCCGTTCGTACACAATAGGACCGGATAATGGAGAGCCCAGTTGCTCTAGAAACAAGTCACAGAAAGGTAATACAGTATAGCAATGCACAGTATGTGTACAGGTTTATGTTCCCCTGTCTTCGTTCGTACACAAAAGGGCCGGATGATGGAGAGCCCCATGATCAAGGCAAAAGGGTAAATAGTAAAATATCTGGGTGATACTTTCTAGAAGATGTGAGAAGCTCGAGTACATGGACGACCTAGCGATACCTCCGAGTGAGCCCTATGTATATGCTAGCTTACATGCACATGATAGAATATGGGCGACCTAGCAATACCTCCGTGTGAACCCTATGTAATATGCTAGCTTACATGCACATGATAGAATATGGGCGACATCGCGCTGCCCTCCAGCAGATCGACGTCTCTGTATTCCCCAATTCTCCACATGTAGAATATACACACATATATATGTAGACATCAATACACATGTATATGTAAACATCAGTAAACACATGCTCAAATACCCTAAAAGATGGGCATACCTTGTAGTACAGATGAGAAGTTCGAGTATATGGGTGACCTGGCAATACCCTCCAGTCGTTTGATATCTCTGCTTGCGGGCAAGAAATAACGACGCAACAAGACAAACATGACCACTAACGGCGCAATGGCCAGCAGCACCCACGGCAGGATGATCACCACCATGATGAGAATGCCTACAATCTGTGTGTAACCATGGCAACAGGATCTATATACATGGCAACAACAGGACTGACATTGACTGGGGACGAGGAGAGCATATATACATATATATATATATATATATATATATATCAATTATTTGCATGTATTCATGGGTATGTGATGGTCACGCATGACGCGACGATAACGCAGCATGAGCAGAGACACTTGCGGTGCAATGGCCAGGAACGCATACGGCAGGAGAATCAACCAGTAGAACAAGGATAATCAAATCGCATTATAAGGATACCTGCACTCTGTGCCGATCCATGACAAGGAGATTGTTGTGATATAGTCCGCATATAGATACACAGCTAGTAGGACGATGCTCGCACTGATGATTCATGATTGTGAGGACTGAGGCACGCGTTCTGCATGATGAAGGCCTACCACTGATGCACTAAAACAAGGCCAGTTTGTCACATATAGATACTATAAATGCCAGACATGTACTCACGTATAATAATCTCAACATAGAATACATGCATTGAGTGAATAGATGTATCATACATGTACAGGCACGGACAAGTCATCGTCTCCACATATGATACTAAGCTTAACAGATATGCTTACCATAAAACTAGCCTGCAGTGTGTCGTATGCGGTGTACGGTAGCGTATCGTCCATGGTTCCAATGTCCTGCATAGACCCGAAGGTATATTCGTATACATCAGTGACTGCGCACTCAGATGACAAGGTAAGGGTGCATGTGTATGTAGTATAGCTACGTCAACACATCGATACATACTAAATTCCTACGCATGTGATATACATATATACATATATATAAATATATTATATATATAAATATGTAAAAAATATATATAATTATATATAACGATATATATAATGATATATATACATATATACATATATACATATGTGTGTGTGTGTGCGTGTGTGTGTGTGTGTGTTGTGTGTGTGTATCCAAGTCTGCTTGATTGCAAACTAGTGCCATTGAGATAGATTGCATATGTGCATGTCCCTCCAGGTACACGAATGTAGTGACAGAATATAGTATACGTTTCTCGTCTAGTTTTTTATCAAACTACAACAGTCATCCAATCGAGTATTCAGTTTGCAGAATACTATAGTAAGCTAAGAAGCAGAAAAAAATACTTCATTGATATACCTTGGAGAATCGGTTAAGAATGCGACCGGCCGGATTTGAGTCGTAAAACGAGACAGGGGACATTAGAACACTCTTAAACATCGACCCGTGGAGCGCCACATTGGACCTCAGAAGAACTGTCAGGAACATCATCACCCTATATATACATCAATGTATGCGAACATCACATGTGTAGGGAACTAGATATTAATGAGATATGACGACTGGTTACGGTGGTCGTTCGAGATGAGGGTGATTATTCTTATCGTAATAGTTGGGTGCAGAAGTCAGAACTATATAT